GCTCCAGTATCAGAGCTTAGCATCAGGGCATTTTCACAAGTACTTGTGGAAATGTCCAGTATCGGCACTGATATTGGTGCATCCCTACTATTAACCATATCCATCTAGATCAGGGGTAGTGAATTAAAATTCAAGGAGGTCCGAAAGGGGTAACATTTTCGAGGCAAGGTCCGAATCACGTTCCAGACAGAGCAGTCACTCTAACAAGCCCCTTTGTGACATTATTTAGAGGTGACAGGTTCTGTTTATGGAGACTTTAGGGGTCTATTAGGCCTCTGATGTTGCGCCCCCCCCACAATACAGACCATACAGTGCAGGATTGTGCGTGATCCTCCGTTTACCCAGCACTTCAGTCGGCTTCTAAAGCATTGAGAGCACAATGAATATGGAGTTCAGGATCCAGCAGGGTTCATATTTTAGGTTCCAGCTCCATCGACAACAACTAAAGAAAACCTCAAACGTTAGGCACCAGCTGTCATTTTGGAGGCACATAGGCGACCCGGCTCCTGGTATTTGTCCAGCTCTGGCATAGGAGGGGGGACTGTTTTTTTTCTTTCCCTTCTTGGCTGTAGCAGGCATGGCTGGGAGCTCTAGGGAAGCTACGTGGCCCCTGGGGTCCCCGAATAGATGTAGTGCCCATAAATCCACATATCTGTGAGCTGTCATAAATGCACTTAAAGTCCTTTCACCCCCCATGTGAGAAGTCTGCTCAAAAGTAAAGTAACTCAAACTGCTGCATTTATTCAGATTTTGGGGCTTATTCACATGAGCGGCCACTGGTAAGAATCTGCATATCCTGCCGGCAGAGAACCTGACCCCAGGTGAACAGCTGGAGCCAGATGTGTACAGATCAATGGCCGCCACTGTTTGCATGTAGCCACACATTTAAAGTGATAAAGTCAAAAGCTATTTCGCATGCTGATGAAATCACTTACAATGGAAGCTGCTCCTTGATGTTTAAAAGGTTTAGTTTCCTGCAGAATCTGCTGGTCCCCAGAGCACTGATCCTGGCTCCTTTCCCTTGCAGGGTCCTACGGAGGCACCCTTGTGCACGCTAGTAAGCTGTGTGTGTCTCCACAAACACATGGACACAGCAAGGCAAGCCATTCCCCTCACCCCTTCTCCTAGAAGCTAGGAGATGGACAGCTGCTGGAGACTGCTCTCCCTTGTGATCTGGTACTGGACAGGAAGTTCAGGGAAGCTGAGCTAAGAGAGTTGGAGCTGTTCAGAAACATGATGACTAATTGCTTGTAAAAAATGTAAAGACTTGCTTTGCTGGGCAGTGTATATTTGTGTGATCTGGAATCATTATTAAAAAATAGTTTGAGAGTTTGTACTACTTTAAGGTCCGGTGCACACCTAGGCGATTTATCACGCACAACGCAGATTCGCATTGAAGTCAATGGAGGCTGCTCACACCTTTGCGGTTTGTCACGGAACCCGAAATCGCCCATCACGCGAAAAGGTGCAGGAGCTATTTTCAGGCGGTTGTCGCGCGGTTTGGTTCTCATAGACATCTCTATGCATTGAAAAACGCGCGGTTTACAAGGAACAGTCGCGCAATCGAGAAACGTGCGAAAACAGCTCAGCATCTGAATCGCCTAGGTGTGAACCTCGCCTATGTGGTTACATGTGATTAGGGACCCCGGTTGCGGACAGTTTGTGTCCAGGGACAACATTTAGCTGCTTCTGAACTCCCCATCATTCGCCCATCTGACTCAACTGGCTACAAAGTTGTTTGGCGGCAGTTTTAGAGCCAGAAGACCAGCATGACCGCCAATGACCAGTATTTTCTGCTGTAGAACGGCAGTAGCAGCTTATGATGTGACAGGTTCTCTTTAAACCCTTCTCATCGTAGAGCTGCGTAAAGTGAGCCCTTATGATAGATGTGCGCGGCTCTTTCACATCCCTCCCTCTGTGTGTTATTAGCACTGCAGTGGTCTCTGTCCCTTTGATCCTCCTGCATGCAGTGACATCAGCCGGGCGAGGTACGTTGACGACATTCTTTTTTTTTTTTTTGCTGCTGTGAAGTCTTGGAAAACATCGGCTCCCTGCTTGATCCCGGAGATAAGAGGGATTAGAGCGCCTTTGCAGCAGCACTTCTGAATCACACTCGCCTTTTACCTTTTTTAAAGGATCTTGGCTCATTTCCCAGGTGTTTAAACATGTGGCTCAAGGGCAGAGCAAGATTTAAACGGCCGCTCCACCTTCCTGCACCTTTCTGACTACGTGTAAAGTAAACTGTGTTCAAAGTGCATCTGTTATTTGAGAACTGTAGGAGCTGCCTCTGTCTGAAAATGCTAGCTGCCTGGCTCTCTCCGGCCTCTATAGTTGTGCGTCGTCTGTGCCCTCTATTAAGTATTGAATCTTAATGGATCAACATGTCTGTCATTCAGACTGCAGTTGCCTAAGGCCTTGTTCACACCAAATGCCTACCAAATCTGCATGAGTTTCTGCACACGCAGTGCAGTGGGTTTTTGATGCATTCCGGGCCGTTTTTGGTAAAAAAAACCACGTTTTTTTAGTTTAAAATGGGCTTTCAGTGCGTTCCAGAGCGTTTGCATGCGTTTTTGATGCGCTTGCATACGTTCCAGAGCAGGTAAAATGGGGCTTGCTGCAGTTTTTTTTTACTTGCTCTGGAACTGAACGCTGCGGTGTGAACTAGAGCCCCAAATACCATTGGAATACATTGGACGCAGTTTTGATCCGGTCTGTAAACTGCTCTGCTCCTGGAACGCGCTTGGTGTGAACAAGGCCTAAGGCTGGGTTCACACCTAGGCGTATTGAATATGCGCGTTTGTCGCGCCATTTTAACGCGATCCGCGGTATAAAAAAAACGCGCGTTTCCGTGGGCTACTTGGCTGTATCCCAATGGAAACGCGAGACCAAAACGCTCCAAAGAAGTACATGTACTTCTTTGGGCGTAGGCCGTTTTGTATCGCGTTCGGACGGGCGGAAATACGGCAAGGTGTGAACCAGACCCATTGAATACAATGGGATTTAGATGTTTGAGCGTTTTGTAGAGCGTTCGTCGAGCGTCGTTGAACGCGCTACAAAACGTTCAGGTGTGAACCAGACCTAATAGTCAACAGTGGAAAATCACGAGGCAGGTTTTGTGTCACGTGCAAATGTTTGTCAGTACATACGAACGCGTCTTTTGGCAGGCATTCTGTTATCTTCCTTGCAAAACACAGCACCACAGAGGGGGTTGGTCCTTAGACTGCAGAGATGTGGAATTCCTATCACCCCACAGAGCGGGACGTGTAGTGCCGAGCGAGTAGTTTTTTTTGTATATTTAGCCCTGCTTTGGGCAAGCAGGGCTATATGTACAGCGGGGATCTGCTGCACGTTTTATACGAGTGATCTGATCACTTGTACCAGCCTGTCTGCCCTCCCTCCCGTGGTTTCCGGGGTCCCCCGCTCTTCTAGGGGACCCGGGACTACAGCAGATGAGCTCATGATGGAGAGTTGGAAGCAGAACGAAGAACATCCGTTCTTCGCTCTGCTCTGTGTGTTTAGTGAGACCGGAGCGCTGCAATCACAGCGCCACCTGTCTCAGCTGTCGGGAACTGCACAGATCTGTTCTGTTTTGGGGGGCAGGTTCCATAAAGAGAACCTGTCACCTCCAAACTATCACATAGGGTCTTGTGTAAGCCCCTGTGTGATGGGAATACAATTGTGTAAAAAATTTTAAAAATAATAAAATATGTAAAAAAGTAAGTGATAAAAAGTAAATAATAAAAAACAAAATTCAAACCAATCCTGCCGATCCCCGACAACTGCATGCAAATAAACGCACGTGTAGGACATTGCGTGTGTGCGTTGAAAGCTGCTGCCATTCCACTGTGCGCTCTATTGTGGTAGCCAGCCAGCAGAACTCCTCTTACATGCACAATCTGCATTAAAGGGTAGGTTCCCTTTCCATGTAATTTGGGAAAATGGAATTACCTGATCAAATCTGGCCCCCTTCGCC